CCCTCATACCCTTTAAGAAAAAGTACATCATGATCAGCAGTTGTAATGTACAGACAGTCTGTTGCAGTGGTTGACGTCGATCATTAGGCAGTGCCGTTTCGTCTGAAGTCGCGATCTTCGAGCCTCAGAGAAAAGCACTCGTGCTGCATGAAATGCTTGTCACTTGAATCAATCGATATTGATGGTGTAAAATTCAGCCCCACATTTAAAATACTTTGAGCCAAGAGTAGAGGAGTAGCGTGGAGAGGAGAGGAGAGAACAGGAGGGGAGGGGAGAGGAGGGGAGCAATAAAGGAGATTTGAAGTGAGGTAAGGGAGGTGAAAACATGCTAATGGTGTAATGATGTCAACGAGTTTACCTTTACTTCATATCCAGATGGCCTGCAAGATTTCATGTCACTTGTGAACTCAGAACGAAGAATGTCTGTACCTTAAGATGTTCTCAATCACCATCTGATTCACTTGATCATCATCGACGGAAAGAATCTGTGTGTAAGTCAGTATCGACAGCATGTTCATCATCATCATTCTTCTTCTTCTCCGTATCAAATGTCAATGTCATTGTCATCATCACCATTGCCTTCTACTTCACTCTTCTCACCTCGTACTTTCCAAACTTGTCAAAATGGAACTTCATGTCTCTCTCCGAGGATTCTGACAACAGCGAGAAATCTGACATGGAAACAAGTTACACATGAACTCAACCCCGACAACTCAAGCACCATCTCCTAGCCTGCACTTAGTGCAAACCATCGCCAAACTTCCTTTGCAGTTCGGGCAAGACTTGTCGTCAACGTGCAGGGTGCGGATCATGTTGAGGTAGGCCTGATGGAAGGAAAGCAACATCACGACAGGACAAACAGACAACGCGATGAGAAGAGCGAAAGCAACATCCATAAAGTCACAACCATCACAATCGGACGATGATAACAGTAGTCCAAGGTTAAGAAAGAGAATTTGTGATGTTCGGCAGGAATTGAAGAGATGCAAGAAAATACAAAAGATTCCATGTTGAGGCGTATGAAGAAGATATGAATCATTATACACGGCGACAAGAAGAAACCTATCTCCCTCCCTCACCTGATGAGCAGCAACTCGTGGTTTGCTCAGTTGACCTTCAACGTCCTCTCTCAGCCTCTCAGGAAAATCCTGCAAGCTCACAGTCAGAGCCCCCAACTCCTCTCATACAAGTGCAGACTCATGCAAGTTTCACACTCAGTCACAAGATGTTACAACAAAAGAACATACACGTCGAACTGCATGCAAGGGAGAAGACAAGACATCACAACAAGTAGAAAGAAAGAATCAAAGACATTCCAACATCCATCTCACACAGCAGCACGTCTGCTCCCATCAAAACTTCACCTGCACGCTGGTGCCTTGCGCTTCCGCTTTCTTCAGCTCGAGAACATGCTCGAACTCACCGACTTTCATCTGCCGAGGACAAACAATGAAGGGTGACATGGACAAAGAGGGGAGAGAAAGAGGACAGAGGAGAGGAGAGGAGAGGAGAGGAGAGGAGGAGGGAGGCTGGCAGGAGGCAAGAGTTGAGCAGGAGAGGAGAGTGAGGAGAGCAAAGTTGGTGAAGTAGGGAGGCGAGGAGGTTGAGAAGGGGAAGCAGAAGGAGAAGAAGGTTGAGGAGGAGCAGGAGCAGGAGCAGGAGCAGGAGCAGGAGCAGGAGCAGGAGCAGGAGCAGGAGCAGGAGCAGGAGCAGTCACCAGGTAAGACTTGCGACCAGGAGCGTCAGTGAAGAGAACCGTATCGTCACGACTCTCAAGATCATCGTAGGTGGACTGCAAAGAAGGTGAGCAGAAGAAGGGAGGAAAAGTGGGAGCGACTAAGTTGGCCAGGAACAAGGATGAAGAACAGAGGATGAATGAGACTGAGAGAGGAAGCTGTGGAAGAAGAGGACTAGAGGAAGGAGGGAGGAGAGGGAGAAAAGCAGGAAGAGCGAGAGGAAGGGAGAGAGGTAGAGCAAGAGCGAGAGCGAGAGCGAGAGCGAGAGCGAGAGCGAGAGCAAGAGCGAGAGCAAGAGCGAGAGCAAGAGCAAGAGCAAGAGCAGGAGCAAGAGCAAGAGCAAGAGCAAGAGCAGGAGCAGGAGCAGGAGCAGGAGCAAGAGCGAGAGCAAGAGCGAGAGCGAGAGCAAGAGGGAGAGCGAGAGCGAGAGCGAGAGCGAGAGCGAGAGCAAGAGCGAGAGCAAGAGCGAGAGCAAGAGCAAGAGCAAGAGCAAGAGCAAGAGCAAGAGGAGCAGAAGGCATCGGACCTGTGAGATATGAATGCAGCCATGGAAGCCAAGAGACGTCATGTCCCATGCCTCGTAGATTGCCGTCCCGAAGAAGGTGAAGTGAGCGTTCTGAGGGAGAGAAGAGGT